GACAGGCAATGGTTTTCAGGCTACAGATATAATACAGATATACAGAAATAATGGTTTTGTTGCAAAGATAGCTTATCTAATTATGATAATAATAGTCATTTAAATGAAAAAATAATATCATGTTACATATACAGTATATATATATATATATATATATATATATATATATATATATATATATATATAGGCCTATGTGTTCCAAAGTAACTAGTAACTAACTACTTGAGTAGTTTTTTCATTGGATACTTTTTTACTCTTACTCAAGTAACTTTTAAGATTATTACTTTTACTTTTACTTTGAGTAAATATTTCTATAAGTACTTTTACTTGAGTACAGTTTTTGGATACTCTACCCACCTCTGACTGTTTTCTAGCTGACTAACAAGCTATTGATATTGAATTGCATTTCTGAGATAAATGTACATTAAACCACCGGTTTGGCCAATGATTTTAGCCAAATGTTTTTTTGTTTTGGTTGAATATTTTCAGTCTACAAAGTTTCAGTGCGTCACTACTACTATTGATAAAAGTTATGAAGATTTCTTTGATTCCTTTTTTTTTTTTTTGTGACATGCACCAAACAATCAGGAACGGTCTGCTTTGATTTGATTTTAACTTAAAATGCTAATTTAATCAGCCTGTTCATCTGACTTTTGCAGTGTCAGGAAGTCCATTTGGATTAGAAATTGTACTGAATGAATGAATAAATGTAAATGATTATTAATGATTAATTACATTTTCTAATTTTCTTTGCAGATGAACAGGGTGACTCTGATGAGGTTGATGAAGGCCTAGAGGACCTTTCAGACCCGAGCGATGAAGAGGATGTAGATGACTTGGAGGATGATTCTGGTGATTATATGTTTCTGTAATAAGCTACGGTTGGCTCTGCTTAGGGATAGATGTTCAATATATTCACTTCAGGATCCCCCTTTTATCTTTCAACCATCTTAACTGTATGTATCATACCATTTATCTGTTCTCTATTCTCCAGATGGTGACCAGAAAAAGCCCTCGTCTTCTAAAGGCAAAGCACCTAAGAAGATGTTGAGCACAGAGCTAAAGGAGGTCGCTGAGGGAGAGGAAGATAAGGTTGAGGACCTAGAGCTCTCTGATCAGGACTAAATTTACAGTGGTACATCAGAGGAACATTTCTATTTCACATCCAAACATGATTGATACAATTATGTTATTAAATGAAAAGCTCACCAAGACATGAATCATTTAGGGGTGAACTGTTCCTTTAAGTACCAACCCCCCCAAAGTTGTTATTATTACATTTCTTTTTTGCACCATTGTATTTTATAAAGTGTACAACAAATGGATGTCTTTTTCATCCAACACTTCATAATGATGTCAAATTAAAGATGGTCAGAACTTTGTTTTAAAACCACATTTTTCTTCAGTGTACTTCAGATATGTAGCATTGTTGTGCCGAGGACACTGCTTGTTTAGGGGTGGTGAATGGGTAAACCAGAGGCGGAGGTGGAGGCACGGGGTCAGCCCTGAGCACCAGGCTGCCAAACACTCGTATCATCCACTGCCAGGCTGTGCTGCCCAGGTGGGGAGAGAGGAAGAGAAGAAAACAGAGAGCAGCCTGTTCTCTCGCCAAAACATCTCTCCCCTTCAGTGCTTTCACATCACTTTCTGAAAACAGTTGGCTTTTTCTAAATGTGTTTAAGCAGCCAGAACTCCACGCAGCTCTAGTAGTGCTGTAGGAAATTGGTTAAAAGAAAAGTTAACTACTAGAATAGTGCAACCAAAATTTCAAATCATCCTTATTTAGATTATTTGTTAGATCATTGTTTTGCGAGTGCAATTCAAAGAGTTGTCTTATCCAGTTTGAGAGTGATTAGTTTAGGAATTGGATCTAGTTCTTGAGTAGTTAACTATCAGCTGGTAGCAGCTTTAAACAGTTCAGTCGGGTGAGGTAGATTATGCACTGATAACTAGTTTAAGGCTAGTTTTAAACCTAACATGTGATGATAAAAGTTGTCGATATGATGTGCTATATTCCAAGTCTTCTATGGTGAATTTGCATACTAAGTCCACATTCAATGTAATTGCATGGAAAGTGCCCAGCAAATTTTCTTTTTGTGTGTCGTCGAAAGTCATATAGGATTATTTATTATATTATTGGGGTCAGTAAACAGTAACATTTTATTCCTTTAACTTTTTAAAATCCTCTGTTATGCTCACAACTGGGTGTGACTGCTGTTGTGGCTGAAGCATCTTTCTTGTTGCATAATGAAAGTTTGCGCACATATTTTTGTTCTGTTCTTTCCATCTCTCCCAGCTTAAAGTAGCCTGACTACATCAGACTTCGTACTTCCGCTCAATTTCAGTTCGCTTCTGTACATTAGTCTGAGATAGCGCCCTATCTCTCAGTTTTCCTCCGGCCTGAAAACAGCCGGCCAATCAACGAACAGAGGGCGGGCTGAGAGCCATGACGTAGACGCTAAGGGCCGAGTTTAAGATTGTATTTTAGGTTAGGGAAATCGAAAACGACTGCGGATATGTAGATACGGGATGCAATTCGCTCTGTTGTGGAGAATATTCCCGGCATTTGCAAACTGAAGCCCGAACAAGAAGAGTGTTTGTTAAACATTTTGAATGGAGGTGATGTTTAAGTTGGAGAGAGAGGTGATTGCGTTATGTGATTGGCTTACGGGTAACCAATGATTTTATACTTCAGACAAGGGCCCCCCCGCGAGAAAGAAAACATTTTTCAATTATGCCATTCCAGACTCTGTCTACGAAGCAAAGCGAAGTAGCAGAGTTTGGTATTACTAGGCTAAGCTTAAAGGGGTGGTTGATGATTTCAGTAGAGAACATTTGTGGGTCTGCTCAAGCTGTCACATCTGTTTTTTCACATTTATTGCAATACAGTACGTAACACAAATGCAATAGCATGTCACTCTGTAGGCATCTTACAACAGTTCCCACACTAGCGATAATCATGAAATAATATGCTACTCAATGACTTGAAGATAGTCAATTCCACATCAGCTACATAAATTCATCAACTAACCATACAGAAACGTCCTATTGCATTCTACAAGTTGTCACTTCTTCTTTAATCTCTCCATCATTGTCCGACTTTGGTCTGAACATAAAAGGCAGAACAGTTTCTGACATTTAAGTGCATATCTGCAAGCTGCTAACACACGAGCTGTTGAAGCTCCGCCTTCTGTGCCGGGAGCAGCAGCTCATTTGCATTTAAAGGGACCCAAAAACGATACGTTTTTCCTCACCCTCAAAAATGGACAATTTTAACATGCTATAAAAAAATTCTCTGTGGGATATTTTGAGCTAAACCTTCACATACACACTCAAACTGGGGACATCAGAGACTTATTTTACATCTTGTAAAAAGGGGCATTATACCACCTACATTAACCCCTTTAAGGTGCTGTTCAGAATGTCAGGCAACGTTAAATTCAGGCCACCATGACTAAACTTCAGCTGGGCTTCATTCACTAGAGCAGCAGCGCTCATGTTTGCGTGAGTCTGGATAACAGGTTTACTCTATCACTCGAAGCACAGTATCACAAGCAGCACCTGGTGCTGACAGTCACGGTTGCAGTAAAAAGATTTTTTAAGAGGCGTATGGTGGACGTCCCTGAGAGTCATTTGTTCTTTGGGTTAGGCGGGGACCACAGGGGCCCTGGCCTGTGACTGAACCTGACGCTCTGACAGCTGTTGTTGACCTGAACCCTACACACACACACACACACACACACTCCCCTAACCAGGGGATTTACCATCCACTGCCATCCACTGGGGCCGCCACTCCCTGCATGACTGTGGAGGAGTTTGGAAATAAACATCACTCGGAGAAGAAAAGAAAAAAAGAGAAACAAGCATCTTTAAGTTTGCAATAGGATTTATTTCACCCAGCGGAGAATAGAAAAATAGGATGAAGACAAAACATTGATGGGAAATCTAGTGACGATTTTAATTAATTGCTTACATATTTAAAAAGAAAAAACTATTTCAAAGATTTGCATAAAGAGCTTTGTGCTGTCCATTTCCCTGCAACAAAGAGAAAAGTATTGTTCTTTGGGATCAATTTAAGGACAATTTAATGACAATTTAATATCTCATTGCTCTAACTACAGCAAACAAATTTCTATAAATATTTTTTTCCTCATTTATATGCTGAAGTGGCATTTAAGATTGGGGCTCATGATTATTACAACTGGAATACACAGCAAACAGAAAAAGAAGAACAAAAGTAACACCGAGTCACCCAGTCACATTTTGTTCAGTAATAAAGAAGATTTTTTACTCGTGCAACTACATTTAACAAAACGTACCACTTATTTCATCTTCAGTATATTCTCATCTTTAGCATGTTTCTATACAATTCAGGATAACATGTCTTTCCCACAGCAGTAATTGTGACCTCACAATGGCATTAATCCATCTATGGACTGGCATAGGGATGGACGTACATCCTTCTCTAATGTCCTTTTTTTGCGGGGTCGTGAAACTAAAACGGGCCCAGATGTTTGTTGGGTGAGAGGGTGGGCCATTGCTTTGGCTGATGGCTTTTGGTCACAGGAAGTCTTAAGTGCTTTACACATCTTTCTTTTTAAGTTTATCTTCCTTCAGTATGGCCCTGTATGTGTACCTTGTTTCATCACCGGAGAGATCAACACTAGATCTCGTTTGAAAATTCCACATCCATCCATCTTTGGTTTTGGACTGTGGAATGCATAGTTGCACTGGTCAAGTCTGCAAATGAGTTCCATCCTGTTCTCATATTTACTCCTCTTTGGAGGATTTAGTCTTTCGAAGCTAAACCAACTCCAGAGAGTTTAAAAACGGCTGGAAGTTGGAGGAGGAGGTGGCGTAAACGCAAGAAAAAAAAAAAAGGGTCTTTGAATGATGCTTTCCTACAAAGTCTGACACAAAAGAATGTTGCATGTGTACCTTGTGCGCTCGCTGGATGCATCTCTCTTCTTTCTGGCATGCTGTTTAGGAGCAGCTGTCTGCTCACGTTCATCTCTCGCACACTCTAACCCTTCCTGTCTCGTCCCCAAGTCCCTATTTGCACATCTTTGGATTTTGGCTTCCTCACAGCCGCTGCGAAGGGTGGAGCTGTTTCAGCCCGCATCATTTCTTCAGTGTCTCTCTTCTTTCTGCACATTTCTCCACACTTTTCCTAAAAAGATTAAGTGCCTCTGCATAAAGGTCCTCAAGTTTGCTTTTTATTTCGGGAGGGGGTAAGAGGAAGGAAAGAATAGTTCAAAGAGGGCCCCCTTCATGCCCTCTTTCCGTCTTTACCTCCTCCCTGAAGCACTGCCTCTGCCATATGGAGAAGCAGTCAAGAGTTTTAATGGCCAATTCTACGAGGGAGGTTTAGTGGAGTCGTAGGCTCCCGCTGAGGAGGGGTTTCCGTTCTCCTGTTTGGGGGAGGCGCGGCAGGCGGGAGGGGGCACGCTGAATGGGGAGGAAGTGCTGCCGGTAGAAGGAGGACGGGTCTCGGCGGGCAGGGGGTCTCTGTCTGTGGGGCGCAGAACAGATGGCGGCAGCGGGAGGGCCAGCGGGAAGCTGGTCATGTAGAATATTCTGCCAATACGTCGCGCCACCTGAGGAAAGCAGCCACATGCCAGCGTTATTTCTCACACCATACACCCAACATGAAGTGCATAAGGATGTACAGTACCAGTGATACAAGATGATTGCGTTCATGTCTGCTCAGAATAATGAACGAAGAAATGTGATAACACATGAAGAAACAAGACAAAAAACTAGGCCTATCTATAGGTTTGTGGGGCCCTGGGCAAGATCATAAAACTAAAAATCAATAAAAATTACAAATATCTTCTGGTCGGAAGTTCTGATAAGTTCATTTATTATGGACCATCTTTGTAGCCCCCTTTGTAGCCCGCTCTTCTGGAGCAGTATGCACTCCTGCTCCTGAAGAGAAACTTTCCTGCAAATATTAGATCCATCCCTTTCCAACACACCGGATCAGAAGTTTTGAGTGATCCTGAAGACCTTGATTAGCTTGTACAAGTGTGTTTTATTAGGATTTGACCTAAACTCAGGAAGTTGGCCCTCCAGAAGCAGGATAGTACACCCTTGCTCTAAGTCCACTGCAATGCAGAGTTTAGCTCCAACCCTGATCAAAACAGTTGGGACAGAGTTACCCACCCTTTCCCTATTGTATATCTGTCCATTATTATTGCAGCATCTTGACATGGAGAGCTATCTTCCTGCAGAGTTTAGCTATAACCCCATTTAAATACCTGAATCAAGTAATCAAGGTCTCAAGAATACTTGAAGTTTTATTTAACAAAGTTCGGGAGGAGCGCAAGAGGAAGCCGGTATAGCCGTCTCTCACCTCTGTCCTGCGACAGTTTCACAGGATCCCTCCACCACCCCATCGCCTCACTCTTGGCTGGTTTCTATCCCAGTCAAGGAGGGGGAGTACTCTGGGTTCGGGCCAAATTCCGAGCTCTGAGCCCTCCCCCGGACAGAACGGCAAATACGCACAAATTACTATATTTGATTTCATGTACATGTAAACTTGTGAAATAATTACAGGCAGGTGTGTTGGAGTAAGGTCTGCATAAAACTCTGCAGGATGTTGGCCCTCCAGGAGCAGGATTTGACACCCCTGGTAAAGCAGGTCTTCTCTTTACCTGAGAGCGGATCTTGAGGGCAGGCCCCAGTTTCAATCCCATGTTGTTGAGCAAGTGGTCCTCAGTTAGCAGTGGCAGAGTCTCGCCATCAATGGCCTGCTCTCTGAAGACCTGAAATAGATGACCTAGCTTCAGCTGACGTTGATGAACATTGACCATTTCACTCAACATGCACACAATTCACGTGACTCATTCCACGGGGAAGCTCATGCATACTCGGCATCTGCAGTGAAATGTGGTGCGCTGTGGTCAAAGGTGGGGTTTTGTTGATGCGTTGAGCATGCGACAGATTGACATTCGGTGTGGTGAAATGTGTGAGACAGAGCTGTGAGTGAGAAAGATAAGAGCAGCGCAGAGCGGCCTTCTAACTTTTTAAAGAACACTCAAGAAACAACTAAATCAAGCTATTCTGGTCTAATGTTCTTGTCTACAAATTGCAGCACGTGGTCTTCCTTCTGTGCTGTACTGTATGTCTCCAGTAGCCCCTGTTAAAGGCAGGGGCAGGAGAGGAGGTATCCAACGCTCTGCTCCTGCTCTTGTCCTCACCTGTGTGTACTCCCCACAGCCTGCTAGGCTGCTGATGAAGCTGCACACCTCCTCCACACTCCACTTGCTGATGTCCTCGACTGCTCCCGCCTCTTCTCCGTCCACAAAAAGACCTCCCATTGCGCCTGTGAGCCCGCCGGGCCGAGAGGAAGCAGAAATCATTAGAGACAGAAGGCCCCCTGTCCCCTTACACACTCACTTGCACCTACACACCGCTCTGTTATTGACCCTGCCTATTACAGAGTTTAGTAAAGGTCAGCGACAGGGCCCCTTCCTGGGGGAGGTCTCTCAGCTGGAGCAGGTAATGCATTTCAGATGGCTGAGGTTGCTCTGCACTCATTCAGTAAGATGGGGAGAAACACTTAAGCTACTCGTCTTTAACTAGATATTAATGTGGGGTTAAACCTTGTATGCTTCGTTGTTATGTGGATAAGAATATTTCACCACATAATTCTATCATCACACCCTCAGTTATTCAAAATCCTTTTTTACTCTTTTTCATACAACAAAAGTGGATAATAATTGTGGCTGTCAAGCTCCAAAATTTACCAGTGAAAGTACATTTAAGTTCCTGACTTTTCATGGTATTCTATTTATTTTATTATTTTTCACCAGACAGCAGCATAGTGCCGGCCAAGATCCTACCCACATCTGGTACACGTGGATTCCACACGGCCTAGATGTGGGCCGGATCTGGGCCAACACTGTTGCTGTCTGGGTTGGATACACTTACATTTATAGAGACAAGAGAAACCTGCATATTATTGTAAATAATTAATTATGGCAGTAAGCAAAAACATAATTTAATTTTTTTTTTAAACTATTATTTTTTTCTCTCTCTGTCTCATCATAAGTAAGATGAGACTTGTTGCATGCTCAGTATTTGCTAGAATGCCTGTTGCCTGAGGTAGATTAGCTCAGCCTCTCTCTGAATTGGTCACTTCCTCATTAGGAGACTCATTTTCCATTAAAACTTGCTCTGGGCTTGCTTGCACTCTGGGCTCAATTTCTCAGTTTCTCTCTAACTGTCTTGCTCACTCTTTCTGTCTCTTTGAGGACAAGGAATACTATGTGAACTCCAGATTTTTATAGTTGAGGAGCAGGCATATGATGTCACTAACACTAGTGCTCTGTATGTTCGTTTTAAATGAGGAGTGCTTTGGAATTTGGAATATGGAAATGTATGTCTCCATGGCTACGTTCACACTGCAAGCCTTAGTGCTCAATTCCGATTTATTGCTCAGATCCGATTTTTTTGTATCGCTGTTCACATTGTTGTTTTAAATGTGGTCAATATCAGATTCCAGTCCGAACAGATCATGGTCCTGAACTAATCAGCATGCGCAAAAGAATGATAAAAAGACGTCACACAGCACACTGTCATACGGAAATAAACACGGAGAACATTAAAGTAAATGATTACTCGTTTATTTATAGTGTGATCTGCTGCAGAAGCCAGCGAATTTATGTGCAGGCAATATATAAAAAAGAAAATAATAATTTTTAAACATTTATGATGCGAGCCCTCGTGTTTTGCTTGAATGAGCTGTCACTGTAATACTTATGAGTTCTGACACATCACTGACTACCTTTCGCAACTATCTTGATAACTTCGGGTATGTAAAATCTTTGAAGTGACTCCCGTGAGCACAGACTTGTGACAAATGTTGCTCTAGAGTGACTTAAAAGTCAAATGAATTCCGATATGACTGTTCAGACTGTAGTCGCATTGCAAAACATCTGACCTGTATCGGATTTAGTACCTCATAAGGAAGTGGCAAAAATCGGAATTGAAAAAACCCCCATCTAACTCCATGGGGTTTGCACTGTTCACACTGTCATGAGGAAAAACAAATCAGAGTCACATGTGAGCAAAAAAAATCGGATTTGGGCCACATTTACCTGCAGTCTGAACGTAGCATAAGATACAATATCTCTCATTGAATGTGATTAGATTTTGTTATCTGAATTTTAAACAGCTGTGAACTCACCGGTGTGAAAGTAAGGGCTGGTGTATGGAAAGGTAAAGGGCAGCGTTTGTCCAGGCAAAGTGGTTAAGGGTGGGATTCCTGGTGGCAGGTATTTGGCCTCACTCTTGCTCAGTCCTGATGTGAAGAGGTGGTGGGTCGGTGACTCTTGGCCAATGGAGCTACAAGGGGCACTGAGCCGTCCTGACCCCTCCCCCAGCTCTTTCACTGTTTCGCTAGACTTGGTCACATCCTTGCCTTGACACGCCTCCGAACCGAGACTATGTCCGTCCACTTTGGAAAGCCTCTCAGGCCTATCTTCCCCAACCTCTGCATCAATCTCAGAGTCTTTCATGTCTTCATCTTGTCCCTCTGTTTCTCCATCCCGCGCACAACCCTCACTGAGCATCTCTTTAGTCTCAGACAAACCCCCTTGTTGGTCCCCTCGGAGTGGTCCTCCTTTCCTCACGCTCTTCCTGTTGCTGAGGTCTTTAGAGGAAGTGCCTACTGCTGCCCCCTGGTGGTTGAGGGAGAGTAATGGGGTGTTGTTGTGCCGCAAAACCAGCATGGCATTGCGGCGATTGAGCTCCTCTCGGAGTGGGTGGCCCTCTGGGATTTCGTGCAGGCTGCGCAAGGCAGGGTGTTCTGCAGGAAGCCCGGGATGCAGGCCCAGTGGGTCCGCCAGCAGTCGCTGCCTGTGGAGGTTCTCTAACTCCTTCTGTCTCAACAACTCAGCAGACATTTCCAACCTGGAGGAACATTCCAAAATCAGAAAGGCACACTGCAACATGGAAATGAACATTTCCTGAGAATAACTTACATAATATAAAATCCCCACAGTCTTTGTGTGCATCATCAATTAAATCTATCTTTTGGTATATTACAAACAAGTGCTCAAACATCAAGTAGTAGTTGATTGAGACATTTATCTGTGCATCTCTATAACATTACCTAGCAAGGTTCTGCTTACGAAGGATCTCCTGTTGACGAGCGAACATCTCTGCCTGAGCAGGCTGCAGGAAACCATAACCTACAGAACAACAGCAAGAGAACATCAATATTACAGGGGGAAGGGAAACATATTCATCCCATTGTACAGCTATCATTAAAAAATAAATAAGGTATACATCAGTTTGTATACAATATACATCGAGTGTTCAGATTATACACATTCAACATAGTGATATATACAGTGGACCCAAAATAAATGATGATAGACCTTTCATCTTTGAGGAATTTTTTTAATTACTTTTTTAACCAACTGATCTCAAGGTCATTTTAAGTGGATGTATGAAGTCAGTTCCACTTGTGTTATATTATTTTAAAATAAATGCTATTGTATATATAACTGTATATATAACCAATACCACATCAAAAAAACTCCCAGGTTAAATGAGTTCGGAGTAAATGTGAGTGTGTGTAACATCTGGCAGAGGTAATGCTCACCTGGGGCTTGGCAGAGGGCAGAAGGCATGCCCAGGAACGGGGGACGCAGGTGAGGCCCCAGAGCAATGTGAGGAGCATTCTGTGGGGACAGCAATGGAGGGTGCGATATGTCTCTGTGCACAAAAAAAAACACACCATCATTACCATCATCAGTCTTTCACAACCTGCTTGAAGTCAATATGAAACAACATTTATAACCCATTTTATATTACAGGATACATTTTTCATAGACGGGATATTCAAAAAGAAAAAATTTATGTACAAAATATAAACATAGATTATGATTATTATTATTATTATTTTTTTGGAATAACGTACACACATGAATCATTCTCAATAAGACTAAACCATGTATGAAGTAAATAGAGTCTGTCTTGGGGTCTGTAAATATGTCATGTTTGACTTCACGAAATTGGTACTTACACAATACATGCACTTTCTTAATTGTGTGGTGTTATGGTATTAAAACAGGTAGGCTTGCAACAGGTCGGTAGCTTGACTGTGTGGTGGTATGGTAATGATACAGGTTTATCAACAGTCTGGTTCAGCTGTACAGCATTATGGTAACGATACAGATTTCCAACAGTCTGTTATGGCTGTGTTTTGTTTTGGAAAGCTAACTATATAGATTTCCAAAAGTCTAATATGGCTGTGTGCCGTTGTGGTAATGATTTAGGTTTTTTTTAAGGAGTCTGGTACAGTTGTACGGTGCTATGGTAATGAACAGGTTGTCAACAATCTGTTACTTCTGTGTGGTGGTATCCTTACAATACAAGGTTTCCAAAGTCGAATACAATATAGCTGTGTGGTGTTATGGTAATGCTGCTTTCTATTCCATCGGTTATTTTTATCGCTCCCTCCGGTGCACACGAGCGACCGTAGCCCCTCATCAGTCCTGTCACACTGCGGACAGCAGCACTGTTTGTATCCTTGCCCCCCCACCCCACCACCACAACCTCCATCATCTCCTCGCTCTCGCTCCCTCCCTCTTGCTCTGCTGCGCTCTGTGGCCCTGCCACTCTGGTAATGAGGCCTGAATGCACAATAAGAGCATGTCATACTCCGACAGCTGGGGCGGCCCCCCAGCCTCGCCCGGGCTACAGGCTGAAGCACCCACTAATTAACACAGTTCTTTCTCTTCCACCCCAACACACACGCACACATCCCCCTCCTCTTCCTGTCTCCCTCCGCCGTATTCAACCAATAAAAAGATGGCGTGTCGCGTAGCCTCAATTAAATTTTTCTCCTTTTGTACAGGTGGAGAACACAGGCTGTTCATATACAATACAGCAGCCGCCTTTATAGAGCCCTGGCAGGGAAGAAGGAAAATGAGAGGAGGGGTAAGGAGAGAAAAGGAGTAGAGGAAAAATATGAAGAAGTGTACTAGTGGCGAGGTGTTGAAATCCAGGCAAATCCTGCGGTGTCTTTTTAAAGCTTTTTACTGCTCCTCTGCCAATGCAAGCCCCTCCATTTACTGCAACTCTTCACTGAGCCCCCCAACACACGCGCTCACACATGCATAGATATAAATGACACCCAACACACCAAAAGCAAGCAAAAGAACAGCGTGGTTGCTTTGTACTTGTGACTGAGCAACGCTTGCTCCAGGGGGAGAGAGACTGAGCAATGCAGTGCAACACAAACACATAAACATCCAAACAGAAGAGACGGAAAACAAAAAAAAAACATCTGAAATGAGGGAAGAAGTCATATTTTGCTATGCTCTACTTAGGTTTTACGCAATTTCTTAGCTAAACACCCCTAGCATGTCTTCCTTGAGCAAAAACAAAGAAGAAATCTAAAAAAACAGGTACAAGCGGAACAAGCATGTGTGTAAATTGAGGGGTTGAGGAAGGTGTGGAGAGACACAAAGGGGGGAAATCATCGATCGATTGGGCGGCTGTTGAAATGTTAATGCTAATCGTATAACCGCTTTCCGCCGGTGCCTCGCACTTCTGTGGCAGCTCCAATTAATCTGGAAGAAGGCAGCGCGTGACCTTGGGGCCGGGAGTCGGGCCGGCAGCCCAGCCATGCTTATGTAATTACACTGTGAAGTGTGTAATCACCTGGCCTAATCCCTCAGGCCTCACAATTAGCCCGGGCGGCGCTGGCCAGGCCTGCCAAACTCTGCGCCGCCCTGCGCGGCCCACAGATGAATAACGGTCAATTAAAGCTGCATGACTGGGGCCGCGAGGCGTCCGCTCGATAGTAATTAGCTGTAATCATGGGGAGACGTGCCCGGCAGACGTGCTTCTCCTTTTATAGGAAGCAATTTTGGAATGAGGCAAGCGTTAACCATTTCACTCTGGGTCTTTGGCCGACAGAAAAAGAAAAATGGGGTTGAAAGAGAACAAGAAAAAAACAGGGCGATATGTTGGAGGGCAGGGATTATGACTCTGTTTTAACATGTATTCTAACAAAATACTCGAAATGTAAAAATTTTAAAGCTGCATTTTGTATTTTGTGCTCCACTAGCTACACCAGACAAAATTGCAAAAATAATGAATATTTCCAAACAGGTTTTCCAGTTGGCATGTTAGTTTTCTCTGTGCTTTAAAGAGATATGAACATTGTGTCACACAAAAAGATATATAAAAAATGTATTTTCAATGTTTTTTTTAATCCATACAATGAAAGTAAGTGGGATCTAATTCCTTGACTTTAATTGTATGGACAAAAGCAACTGAAACATTCTTCAAAACATCTTCTTTTGTGTTTTACAGATTTTTTTTAAAAAAAGGTCAGGTTTAGAAAGACATGAGAGTAAATTATGATTATTTTCATTTTTGAGTGAACTATCCCTTTAAATAGAGATAAAAGTATTTCAACATTTAAAAAAAGTTGCACAAGGCAGCTTTAAAAATTTGTTACATTTATTGTTACACTGACTGCAGTTCAGTTTACAGGCTTAATTACCTCTACATCTTTTGAGGACTGCCTCCGTTCCTCCACCCTGCCCCATCTCTCCTTTTCTCTATCTGTCGATCTCTCTAGCTCTCTCGCAACCTAGCTAGCGGTAGGGCAAGTAGACGCCACTTGTGTTCGCTCATGTGTGACGACCTGTCAGAGTGGCAGCGGCGTCGCTCCCTGCCTGAAAGCAACGGCAGTGTGGAGTGGTGTGTGTGTGCGAGAGAGTGTGTGTGTGTGTGTGTGTGTGTGTGTGTGTGTGTGTGTGTGTGTGTGTGTGTGTGTGTGTGTGTGTGAAGGCAGAAGCAAAGCAACAAACTGGCCAGACGAGAAAAAGAGAGAGAGAGAGAGAAAAGTGGAGCAGAGCTGACAGGATGGCCCTTAATGAGAGGAGCGCGGGGGATTAGCCGCTCGCCACACCGTGCCCGCCTCGCCTTGACTCGAGGCGGGAACACATTTGCACAGGAAGCACATTAAAATGCATAAGGCTCTTGCTCACCCAACGCCCCCCACCCCAGACCACTGTCTGTTGCTTGTGCTGCCCCACATGCCAAACACATTAGGATTTGCCTTGCAGATTCCCTAAATGCAATCTGCCATTTAAACCCAGACAAATGGCCAGCCATGGCTGCAGGACTATTGATCTTGGTAATGATTTGTTTTTAACAATAGCCACTAATGGGCGTCAGATAATCAATTACGGAGAGTCGATAGAAAGGTGAGCTTGAGGAATGGCTTCCGGCGCACTGTTTTAGCCTGGCGGACTCTCTGTCGATACTTTAGAGGGGTTAGCAATGTCACACAATCTGTGCTAAAAGCTTGTAGCCCACCCAAACATACAGGCCAGTATTCTGTCATCATGTTTCCACCGTCATATTCACATATGACGTGGAGAACAAATGGAGAACTCTGGAAGACTGCACTGGTCACTCTTTAACATACAATTTTAATGAGACTGAAGCTTTAAAGCTTCGAATAGGACATAAAACCCACAATTAAGTATCCAAAAGTGTTTCTCCGTGAATTAATCATTCAGACTGATTTTTTTAATCAAATCAAATGATTCATTCTCATGAACTCTTAAGAACGTGCCAAGTCATATAGACCACTTTTATAATACGTTTATTGTGCGTTACATGATTTTTGAAGCTTGGAATCTTTGGTCCCGGTTCATTGTAACTGCATGGAAAAAAGAAAACAATTCCCCCTTATGTGTTCCGCAAAAGAAAGAAAGTTATATGTGTTTGTATCAACATGAGGGTGAGTAAATGACGACAGAATTGTCATTTTGGGTTATTTAACCCATAAATGTGCATTTTAACAGTTTTAACATTTTCTGAGCTCTAACTAAACAAAGGGTTAAAGAACCAATGAACAAAAAAATGAGTGTGTAGGAGCGAGAAAAAACACTTTCCTCCCTCCCTCCTTTCACCCACAACCTAGGAAGTGTGCAGGCCTCGTTAACATCAGCGGTCCTGTGTGGCTAATTACCGTGAGCTGGCGGAGCTGCGGCGGCTGGCTGGTCAAAGCTGCACGCTGAGCTCCTGACATGATGCTGCGCTGGGCCAGGAACCGAACAGAGTTCCCCCACCCACGCTGAGTGACCCCTCCCAATTCACTTCCTCCCTACCGCCTCGCCTCGCTGGCCCATTATCGATCCTCCAGCTTCCCGCGCCACATAAATAATCGACAAGCAATTACCTGCCTACTCCCGCTGCCTGGGCTTTGTTTGGAGGCGGAGGGGAGCGCCACGAGCACAGTGGCCTTGCTGAGATGAGGAGAGAGGGAGGAGGAGAGCAATTCGGTGTGTGTGTGTGTGTGGGGGGGGGGACATTGCTGGAAGGAGAACGGCGTGTGTTGTCCTAGCGACCCGTTCGGTCCTGAGCCCTATAAATGCCTCCTGACAAGATCAAATCGAACAGGGTTGCGAAGAGGTCATCGCAGAGATCATACCCACTGGCACATCCCATTAAGTGGATTTTCTATTCTTTCCGTGGCCTTAACGCCAACTTCCATTTTTCCCTCCCTTTTCCCTCTTCCGTTACTTTGGTGCATAATTTAATTTGTCCCTCTTTTCTCTTCGGCAGGCAGTCACCCACTCCAACATGCATGCAGTATTCATTAGAGTCGGATGTTGGCTTCATTATTAATGTAAAATATTCATGTTATTTTAAAGCTTAGCATTTTTTCCTGTATCCGTGTTCTTAAAGTGCGCCTCAGAGGTTTCCAGAGGGCATTTATCAACCAAACGCACACTCACATGCACATATACAGCTCATCCACTTGTACACGACAATATAGAGTCAAGAAAGCATATGTGTGGTTTCAGCCACTGTCCTAACCAGATGCCACTTACTAAAGTGATCTCTTTTGTGGAAAATCTAAGTTTTTCCTAAATGAGATGCCACCATGAGATAGGATATTTTGTTGGTAGAACAGTGAAATCTTATTAGCCCAAAACCTTTGCCACATAATTGTACAGTAAACATCAAATATCCTCCTATTAGTTGTGATAGTGATAGATTGCTTGTCGCATCTTGTCTGGTTTGGACGCCACGTCAGGCTGTAATATGTTTGCCCATCACAGACCAAGAGGTGGAGAGACAAAAGTGAAAGGCTGAAGATACATTTAGTCTAAAATCTAACAATTTAGATTAAAGTGTGCAGAAAAAGTGTGCAAAAGAGATAGTCCAGAAAGTATGATGTTGTGCATGTGTATTACCGCTCAGGGAACTGTGCGTCTCTGTGCTGGGGAAGGCCCTGTTTGCGCCGCTGGCTAGAGGAGCTGCCTGCAGAGGGGACGTGGGCTTCCATTCCTCCCGCGTTTCTAACGGCAGCCAAGGCTTCCTGACGCACACGCAGCAGCTCTGTGAATGGAATGAACAGACCAGTTAAATCGAGAAACTCGTCCGGTCTGTGTTGTCAGTGCCAAATCTGTCAGTCTAGCTCTGAACCAACACAGTAAGATTTAGTCCAAGAGTCCCAGAGCAGAATATGCTATATGCCACACAGGCAAGACTTCACACTCCTTCCTACAAATGAATCCTTTTAATCAGTTAAAGAAAAACACAGGTGATCTACTGCAGAGTCACTTCTTCACTGTTCAACATGGGGCTCCCAATGAATCGCTGAGCATTATGGGACAAATATGAGTGTAATTGCAGATGAAGCATATTGTTAATTATAATTATAATAAAATAATTGTCACCCATCATTAAAACCAATAAACCTTAAGAAAAATACAATGAGGACTGTCAATAGAATAAAATAAATTATTAATTAATCTCATGATTTCTGACAAGTCTTTAGGAAGCAGAATGTCAAATTTGGTATATTTTTTACACCCAGCAGCCGCTTGCAAAAAATTATAATATGGAAAACATCCATAATAATACACTACAACAATTGGTCACTGGTTGCACAAGCACATTAGAGTAGTATCAATATTCTTTAAAAAAAATCGTGATGTTTGACCGCTGACATATTTCTAGGGTGTTGTGGGTTTCTAAGGTGTTCTTGGTGGCAAATCTATGTATGGATTTTTTGTTGTTGTTGTTTATCATTCACCAAGCAAAAATAATGAGTTTGGTTGCTTATAAAAGTAATTCCGCACCTTGACAAGCCACTCGATTCATGTATCATTCATGTCCGTATTATTAAACGGTGCGGGACGTGCTGGAATTTAATACTTAAAATTTGGAGTTAGTTCATAGAGCTAATCCTTAGCAAACACCATTAACACAAGTCAATAAAATAAAACAAACTACATATGAATAATTTTGACTTAAAGGGATATTCAGCCAAAAATGTAAATTCTGTCATCATTTACTTGCCCTCAAGTTGTTCCAAACCTGCATGAATTTCTTTCTTCTGCTGAACACGAAAGAAGATATTTTGAAGAATATGGGTAACCAACCAGTTGTGGGGCACCATTGACTTCCATAGTATGGAAAAAAAATACTATGGAAGTCAATGGTGCCCAACAACTGTTTGGTAACAAACATTATTTAAAAGTCAGAACGTCTCGAGGGTGAGTAAATGATGAGTAAATGATGACAGAATTGTAATTTTTGGGTGAACTATCCCTTTAAACTGTTTGAGATGACATGACTGAAATGTAATTGAGCTGCTGGTCTCCCTCCTGAATCTGCGATGTTAGACCATCCCAGACCCATCTCCCAACATTACCAAACTAACAGGGTCACAACAGGAAGCGGCTCTCTAATGAAAGAGTGTTAAATAGAAAATCCATCCTGCATGCCTCCCTCTTTTCCTCTCCCTCGCTCTCCTCTCTCGCTCCCTCTCTCCTCTGGCCCTTTTTTAATTAGACGGTTCCCTCGGGAGCTGGCGGCCATTTCCGAGGCTGCCGTGTGGGCCTGAGTGATCGGGTCGGAGGCACCACGACAGATATTAATGTGCACAGGCCCGTTGTATTGATCTGTTTATTGCACTGCCCCGCAGGGGCCCAGACTGACAGCGGACAAACCTCCAACAGCCCGTGAGAGGGAATAAAAGAGAATGAAAAAAAACCCCCAGAAGAATCTACTTTCAAGGAAAAGCTGTAATGCCTGTCACTTGGTCACACACTCATTCCAGATGATCAAAATAATTAGTAGTCTATCCACACACATTATTACCAGCTGGAAAAATCTGGCTAAAGCATGTTGATGTGTTTTGGAAAATGGTAGCTGGTTCCCAGCACATCATTGATGCTCTTAGACCATCTCGGACTGGCAACAAACCTTCTAATAACCAGCTGCTGCTGCAACCATTTTCCAATACACACCTATCAGCTTTCCAGCATGGTAAAACAGCCCCAAAATCCACTAAAACTCAAAAGTCCCTCGGAAGCCCCTTTCCTCGGTTGCCCAGCGATGAATTATTCCCTTTAACCTGCAACAGAGTTAGCACAGGGTCACCAGGGGCTACATGTACAAGCACACCACTCATCCAAACAGTGACATCCTGACACCCATGCAACCATCTCCCACTCACATTCACTCTGTGCCCTCTGTCAAGCCCTAAATTTGCATCGTCTGAGTCAGTTACTGTGGAATCTTTACCTATCGAGATCTGGTTTCCTCTGCCCCACGTACACAAAGAGCTCCCGTGGCAAAGCACTGGCAAGCCTTTGAGAGCTTCTGTATTGCCAGAAGCAGCTGACAGACACAGCACTCATCGGGAATTCTTTCAGGGGGACGACAGATCCTTTTTCTCTTACTGACCTCAAACTTTCCATGTGTATAAAAAGTGTATATTATATATATATATACACACATATATATTTATATATTAAAAGAAAAACAGATAGATATCAACCAGTTTAATTATCAAAGAGATATTCTGCATTCAAAATCCACCCCAAAATCCAAACATGGGCCCCATCAATTTGAATGGTCACAACGAGGACCTATAGCAACCTCATCATAGCCAAAGCTAAAGGTGCACAACACCGTATCAGTATAAACTCCCCCCTCCCCCCCAACCACCACCACCCCCCTTCAAATGCACACACTCACACAAACCTATCCGTGCCTCCTTCATGGCCTTTCATTTCAGGGCCTCCACTTCAAACACATGAAAGGATGCTCTGCGGGGATCCAGGCGAGAATGAACGAGGGAGAAAAGAAAGAGAGAATATAAAAGCAGGGCTGTGTGTAGAGAGTTCTTGTGGAGTGTGTGCGTTTGTCTGGGGGGGGGGAATGGTCAGAAGGGCCTGGCCCTACTCTCTGCCTATGTCAAGGGGTCTTTGGAGCCTACTGTATAGAACCCAGCACTGCATCAACACTTCCCGACACACTTCAGAGGCACACACGAGGGGGTGGGGTGAGTCTAGGGGTATAAAGACGAAGCCATAAGGAAGGTGCAAAGATATGAAGAAAGGAAAGGAGCCAGATAGAAAGAAGGCATCTCAAAGGAGAGAGCAGGGAGATGGAGGCACGTGGAGGTAAAGAAGAGAGGAGAAAACACACAGAAACACAGCTGGGGTTGACGCTTCCCTGCGCCAGAGAGGTTTCTCTGAAAACTCACTCCAGAAAAGTCAAAAGCAGCTCAGTGTGAGCTATGGCGCTGAAGAAACAACAACAACAAAAAAACAAGAAAATAAATTAAAAGCAACTTGAGGACAAAGGGGGGACAACAAGTAAAATATGAAGGATTGGAAAGGGAATGTTTGGGATAGACAGCCAGCTAAAAGAACCAAATTTGTCACAAGTGCAAATAAAACATTAATAAACGGAGCAATTCCAAGAGGGTCCTCACACCATCGGTGCTCTGGCCCTAAAAAAATGATTGCAGGTGAAAACATATAAAAGCTTTGAATTATATAAAAATAATTAAAAAATTGTCATCATTGATTCACCTTTGTGTAGTTCCAACAAAAGGAGAAAAAAATGGACAGCAATAAATGGGGAGTGCAGTTACAATAAAATGGTTGTTCTGACTTAAAAAAGACACAAATGCACCATAAAACCATCATAATAGACTTGTGCAATATATTCAAAGTTTTTTTAAGCCACACAACTAAGAAATACACCAAAGTTCAAGTTAATATTTACTGATAATCTTCCCCTCAGTGAGCTGTTAACAGCTGTGACCAGATTGAGTAAATGAGTTGAACCCGAGAACTGCATTTATTGATAGGATAGTATAGTCAAGACAGGAAACAAAGTGGGAAAGAGATGGGCGACGGGATCAGGAAAGGTCAGCGAGCCGGGACTCAAACTCAGGTCACCCGAAGCACAACCGCGCAAATGACTTACATTTTTGCCTTGAAGTACTTGAATAATAGTTTTACGGTTCTTTTTGAAACTTTGAAACCTCAGACCCTGTTCATTGCAAGTGTATGAAGAAAATGATCAGTACACACACAGTATTTCTATTTTGCATCATACAGTTCTAGAACGACATGTGGGTGAGTAAATGATGACGGAATTTACATTTTGGGTGAACGAATAACTGATGAAACTGAAGAAACATCATAGATGTATACAGTAGACCTTTAGGTGAAAAGGTGAGAATGGGTATCTCACTCATCAAAGTCTTGGCAGCCAGGCATGTTGGCAGTGGTTGACTGGCACGGCCTTATCGTAGGCTTATGAGCTCAGCATGCAGGGGCAAGCCAGCACGCTCGCATTCCTCAGGGGAGGAACAGCGTCTTGGCCTGGTGAGTCTGTTTTCAATGGCAACCATTATGAAACCATACACCTGACATTTTTCCAGATATCTAGGGGAGGGACCAACGGTGACCCCGCAAATCACACGGCTGCTTTCTCTCACTGGATTTCACACAGACGGGTAAACGCCCTGCCTTTTCTTCTCGGATTCAGATTCCTTTTTACAAATAACCACACCTTTTTTAAGGTGGTTGCGGTGGATGAGAGGAGTAGAGATGGAGAACAGAAGGAAGTTGAGCTCGGAAAGTGAAAGCAAGGAGAGAAGAATTGACGGAATCGGGAAGGGAATTGTGTGTGAATCTGTCCACAACGTGCCTCGGTGTGACGGTAGAAAAACAGAGGAACTTTTAGATTGAGGTGACAGGAGAGCGCAGCACCTCTGTCATAAAATCCTAGACACGAACGGCACATATAGTGGCACTAATTTCTTACAGATGTTTGAGAGGGGCAATTAAACCCTTTATAGCGCAACCCCCCCCCCCTTTGGAATTGCAAGCAGTAATTAAGAATCATTACTGATCAAATAAAATTTAAAGTCGTATGCTCTCAGATTTAGCAAGAATGTGAGATTGATTAAATTTATGCTACCAAAAAAAAGGACATTAAAGCTGGAGGCAATTAACGGTTTCTCAGAGAAAAACATCAACAAGGCTCTAAAGCGCAGTTAAGACATAACCAAACAAATAAAACAAAATGATGCTCACTAAATTTCGGTTTACAAATCTTAGAAATCCACATCCGTTAACCCTGGTACCTCGTCAGTGATCGTAAATTTGAAAAGGCATGAGAAAAAAAAGAGCAAAGGAGCCATTTTCATGGTGTTGGTAATTTAGAGGGTTGGCTTGCAGCCAATCAAAGGGCCAAATCGATCCAGTCGACCTCTGGGCCCAATGGCAGTGTTATTTACTACTGTGTGTGGCAGTAGTCACAGATCACCCACTCTGACATCCTACCGTTGGGTGGGCTGAGACCGCAAATAGAATTGTCAGTAATCTCCGCAGTCAAGCTCTAGCTGTTTGTGTGGTATCCAGGAATAAGACTACATGGGTAATTAGAGCGGATATAGAGACAAGCTCACACACACACACATACACAGGTGACGCACACTCACCGTGACTTGGGATGCCCATGTTGTTCGCCAACTGATACAGGCGCTGCTGCTGCTCCTCATAAGAGCCATGCTCGTTCAGAGCTGACATCATGCGCCTGTAGTGCTCCTCGGGGGTCATGTGACTGCCTGGCTCCAGCGCAGGAGTGTGAGAGTTCTCTGTGGGATGAGAAGAAGCTAAATTTAATCAGCTGTTTCAAACTATGTGATCGTATGTGAGATGTTTGAATGTTTGAGTGAAGGAGAAGCCTATGTGTGGTTCTCCTCGGTACACTGGGCGGCAGTAACTCAAGCCAGTGCATGGGGAGAGACTCTTGGGGGAGTGATGAGGAGGAGGAAGAGTGGTGGAAGGGGGGATATTTTACCCTCCTCATTGAAACAGGAGCTTGGCCCCGGGCAGGCGAACAGAAGCAATGCAGCCCGGCGCAGGGGACTGGGGGGAGTGTGTTCTGCCAAGCGCCAGATAATCCACCCGAGAGGCTTCAGGTGTGTATGTGTGTGAGCGTGCTCATGTGGATGATGTTTTGAGGCATTGTGAGTATGAACAGTTCTGCTGTATGGGTGTGTGTGATGCGTGTATGTGTGTGTGGGGGCATATATATACTGTATATATATAATCAAAATTGATTAAAAAAATACTATAAAAACAGTTATAATATGAAATATTATTACAACTTTGAATTACAACTGAAGACTGGATTAATGGCTGCTGAAAATTCAGTCACATGATCCTTCGGATATCATTTTTATATGCTGATTTGGTGATCAAGAAACATTTCTTATTATTATCAATGTTGAAAACAGTGAAGCTGCTTAATATTTTTGTGGAAACATAATACTTGAACATGATTTTTTTCAGGATGCTTTGATGAATAGAAAGTTTATATAAAGTATTTATTTGAAATAGAAATCTTTTGTAAAATAAAAGTCTTACTATAATGTTTTTTTATCAATTTAATGCATCCATGCAGAATAATGCTGAATGTATTTATATATATATATATATATATATATACACAGCACTCTCAATTAAGAAAACGTTCATTCAATTCATGAAAGGCACACATAATATGAGACATAGCAGTCTGGATAGGGGATCAGTACTACCTTCCAGCTGTGTGTGTGTGTTTGTGCGTGCGTGCGTGCATGCGTGCCTGCGTGCGTGCATGTGTGTGTGTGTTTGTTTGGAAGGTAGGACCTTAGACACAACAGCTGCTATGCTCTCAAACTACACACACATGTGCACACAAAAGCATACACATGCAACATGTTATGTTGTTTGGGTGTGGTGATGGATCACAGACACGCAGACACAAGACATTAGATCAGCGGCATTCCAAAGCCATGCTAATCCACAGTGGGTGACCGACGCAAGCCAACTGTAATTCACAGGACTAAAACACACATAACACCCATTTATCATTCTCACTGCAGCAGCCGTGCTGATTGGCTACACGGTGACGAGTGAGCAGGTAATGCCTCAAAATAAAACGCTATCTAAACACAAGACACGTAAACCACTGATTATTGGGTGTGGAATGTGTTGCGACACATATACAGATGTCGCATACTAGATGCAGTTATGTGAAAACTTTATTATTAGAATACTGAAAATATAATATTGAATTTAATAATGACCATAATTATTATTTGTATTTCAGAATGTCACTTCTATGAGAATTGTTTTAGCATATTGAACTTTTTATAACATACATGAGAGAATGAGTTATTTGTATAACATTATTAAAATATATAGCTATTAGCTACAAGATTATCAAAAACACTGTGCCCTAACCAGATATCACACAAAGTGTGGGAAAATCTTCTAGTTTATATGCATACTGGGGAACTGTGCCCACAGTAAAATCTCACTGGCCCAAAATACTGTCACACAAAATATATTCTGATTGGCTGTGATTTGCATAGTATTTTTTTAAAACTTTGTCACACTTGGTAAGCACACAGTATTAATACCACCAGTAAGCAAACAAAAGGCGAAACTAAAGAATGGGTAAGAAAAGGTAAAATTGGATTTGCAGAATGACAGCTTATTTCTTATATACAGTATTTAGAACAATTATTACAGATCTCACTGTTGAAGATATATGTAAATGTCTTGCTAAAAACTTGGGGGGGGGGGGGGGGGGGGAGGGGCTAAACAAAACAAACAAACATTATTAACAAATTAACCTAAAAATATGTTACAATAATGTTAGGTAGATTTGAGGACTGGTCACCTCACTGGTCTGAGGAACAGATCCAGATTACTGCCTGCTCAACTCTTCCTGCTAGATGCTTGATTATATTTGACTTGGTGTCACTGAGTCTGCCTGATGTTTCTGCTGCCTGCCTGTTACGCTGTTACACCTCATTAGCTCAGCCTGTTGACAATACCCAGGAGCCTCACCGATTTGCATTTTAGCTAAATCTTAAGATTGAAATGTTAGCATGAAGATATTGATTTTGAGCTAAATTTTAGATTTGATTACTTCACCCAACTGAACAAAAAAGTGACATTACATGTACAAATGATGTCCAAAAACACAGTAACCTCAAAACCATGGGCTTATCTCACAGACTCAAACACATATCCATGAAAGGAAAAAGAAACCACAATTTCTTTTCCTAGCAGGAGGAGGAAGTCAAACATCACCCAATTCTCCCTACTGTGTCCCTCACTTACTTGCTCATTTTCTCTCCAACAGACCACTGCAAAATATATTAGAATAATCCTAAACTGTACTTCTTGGATTTGGGCCTTTTTTTAATACCTAGTTGAGTCATGACGGTTGTCAGTATGGATGCGGGACACCACCCCAAAGAAGAACCTGTGAGAGCCTGTGTTACAATGGAGAAGGGATGGGCAACTTCGGTCCTGGAGGGCCACTGTCCTGCAGAGTTTAGCTCCAACCCTGATAAAAAACTCCAGTAGATTTCTAGTAATCCTGAAGAAATTGATTAGCTTGTTTAGGTGTGTTTGATTAGGGTTGGAGCTAAACTGAATGACTTCAACATTAATAACCTAATTTTCAGCGTGTCACAACTTTCAGTGTCACAAATTCAAATCAGATCCTGTGTTGTCTTTACAAGCACTATTAGTAATCAGACCATACAGTTCATACAGAACTTATCCCATTCCCCTCTACTAGATCTAGATCCCTGCTGCTTTGACCGTACGACCACAAGAGACTCTTTTAGCAGCTCTAGGCGAAGGTGAGTGTGTTTGGTTAATGACTGTGTCGAGAGCCTCAATGATCCAGCACACATTCATGCAAAACAGTGAATCCAGCTTCAGCAACACTCTTACTTTATTGATTTTCAACTCCTACAACACCCGCTCAACACTAAAAACTCTCCCTTTCTGAGCGTCGGCACCCAAGCGTGGAGGTGTGTAAGTGAGAAGGGCAGGAAATAAAGAAAAAAGAGAGAATCCTAGATTCTGAGAACACATTGAAAGTCTGGGATTCAAAATCTCATTTAAATTTGGAAATACATTTGTGAGAATAGATTTGAGAAGTTTTATAATTTTGAAATAAAGAAATCAATACTCTAAATGTTAATCAATAGTTCAGGTAGTCTAGGTCACACTGATCATGTAACTCTTTGTACAGACAGTTCTTTCTTCCATTGAAGTGCTAAGACATTTAGATTTACGTACATTTCTCAATTTACAATTAACATTTCACTAAACTTTTCGGAACCAAACTCTCTATTTATATCACATGAATTAGCAACGTTGCACTTGTGAACCCGCCACACAGAGTGTGCGCAAAAAGTTAACAGGAGGGGGGAGGAGATGTCTTTCTTCCACTGAGCATTGTTCTCTCCTCCCTCCTCTTACTATCTGTCCACCCCTTCTCTCCACTCTCGCTCAATCTCGCCCCATCAATTCCCACCTACTCCATCTTACGCACTAAGGTTAAACAGCCCTGATTGTGGCGCATTTTCATCTCCAGCACACATACGCACATGCACACACATGCAAGAGAGGGGCCCCTACCTTTAGGTGACACGCTGCGGGACTTCTTGCTGTCAGATGGGCACTCGCTGCTGCTGTTGGGGGAGTAGGCTCTCCTCTTGCCTAGAATGTCATCTGTGGGGAAAAAAAGATAGAGAAAGAGGTTAGGGGGGTTCAGATGCGGTCAGACGGCCCCTAAACCCCTTGGCATGCAGCTCACCACCTGGCTCTGTACCTGCATACATGATGGAGCTGTGAGAGCGACTCAAGATACGAAGAGATGAGAGGGCCCTGCGCCAGCGTGAATGACAGATCTGGTTCTTACTCAGCCAAACGAGAGATTCTTTCACCCGCTCTCTCTCTTTCTCCTATCTCGAACAAACACGCTCCCTCTCTTTTGCACTCACCCTCGCTCTCTACCGTTGTTTCTTGTCTTGACTATCTATCTCTCTATCTGTGCATACAAACGCTCTTGGTCTTCACACCGGCCTAATACGGAGTAAAATGACAAGTAATGAAAAGACGAGCGAGAGAAGAAAAAAAAAAATGGAAAAAAGTAAGCGGTCTAGGCTTCTATCAAACTCCTGTTGTCGTGCTATTATGCCTTTTTGCTTTTTTCACTCACTCTCACTCTCCGTTTTCAGTGAATATAGAGCTCACACCTTTTGCTAATCTCTTCCTTCCTTTCTATCACTCTTTCTCTCCCTCCCCCTTTTCTCTTTATCTTTCTCTCTCTCTCTCTCTCTAGAAAAGTGGAGGCTGTCTGCACAAGCCTAATGCAGCGCTCTAGTGAGCCGCTGGTGTCTAGTGTACGATTACAGCACCCTCCTCCCCCCAAACACATCTCAAATCAATATCCTGCTAATCATGCTGGGAGGGGTGCTGCTGAGAGCATGGTGGTGCATGCATGCAGGAAGGAAGAGACCGTTTGTCATTGCACTCTCCTCTCCCTCTCTCTCTCTCTCTCTCTCTCTGCCCTCATGCGCCACATGAAGTAAAAAAGTCAAAGCCACAGAGTTATGCTCTTCCTTTTGTCTTTTGTTGCTGTCTGATTCTTTATCTAATGGGATTGTGCAATAAATTGAGACAAAATAGATTATGCACGTTGCTTGTATTTGAACGTTTATTGTATTTATTGTGTTTTATTGTCTATAGATATCATAAAAAGTTATTTTAAAAACATTTATGGTGCCCTGTGGGTGCATCATTTTAAAGACCTCATAATATTGCTTGACAAGTGCAGTTTTCTTTCTTATGCTGACGTATTTCCTATTGAAACAGACAATTTGAATGCAACATATTGACATATAGTCTTATTTCTTTTTAAATTGCCAATATGATTTGTTGCATTTGGTATAAAGTGCAACAGTTGGGTTACGGAAGTAATATCATATTCCTTTTATCCATTGGGGAATTGATTTTTAACTTATAAACCTTTAAAGACAGACCTACTGTGAGCTACAAGGTTGTTAATCGATGGTACATGCTTTTGATGAAGCCATCAGTCTGCATTATTTCAACTTTATTTTTAAATAATCATGTTTAACAGCAGAATTCCTGGTAAAAACTACATTCTCCTTGATTTTGCAAGAGATCTCTACCAAGATCTCTACCCCCCCCCCCCCCCCCCCCCCCAAAAAATCTTTAGCACGTCCCACCCCTATGAAGCACTGCAAATGACATAATATTGCGCTTTTCCACTGCATGGTACGGTATGGTACGGCTCGGCTCACTTTGTGGTGCTTTTCCACTGCATGGTACCGATCCCTTCGGCTCGCTTTAAAGGTTGTATCAGCGATTTCAGGCCCAAAAAAGCCCAAACATAAATGATCACATTCATCTAATCTTTCCTAACGATCCGCTAGCTGCCCGCCCCATGAGCAGGCTGTCAAAAAAACGCATCTCTGTAGGCAGCCTAGGCTCTGAGATCTGCACACAAAAACAATTGGTTTCACCAACCACTCGAAACCAAAATAAATAGTGTTCCAACCAATCACCGACAGGGGGTGGGTGTTGTGAGGTTTTACGCTCGTGCATGGCTGCACGCGAAGTCGGAGCTGAAGAAGAAGCCAGCGTCAATCAACGAATCCATGTCGGTGCATGTCGAAGTACCGAATCCATGTCGGTACTTCTGGACCCAAAGCTGAAAAAGTGGACAGACACTGTTGCACTCTATTAGGTGTGGAACATTCTCATTCTATTCTTTGATTGGAGAAAAATCTGTGTAGTGCATGATGATGTCAACAATACCTATTTTTGTTATATTGTATAAATACCTAATATTTTGTAAATATTTTGTTAAAGTTAAGGAGTGTAGTAGCATTAGCCTCATAGCTAACAGATATAAACTAAAAACCCACAAAACTCTCATTTTTATTTCACAGGGTCTTTAAAGGAAGCCACTATTACAGATGACCCTTACATGTAATCCATGAATAAAGCTCTACACATCAAAGAAGAGTGAAGGGGGAGATTCTTAGATGGCAACAAAACCGAGAGAGCCTACTGCACCTCTGTATATGTCCGACACAAAAGTACAAACTACTCTCTCACACCCCAGCCTCTCGACACCAAGCGTACTGTTCATCCCTCTCTCAGATAAGAGTACTGGAGAGAGACACAGAGCGGGAAAGAAAAGCAAGCCTGCGCTTGAAAGGGCTTTTGGAGTGGCAGAGCTCGGTCTGGGATTCTTTGTGGGGAGCGAGCTTTGCTAATGACGCTGTTTGATGTCTTCTCATCAGGGGGGGGAGGCTGTCTATCCCACTCCAAAGAGAAAAAGGGGCCTCTCTAATGGGCCCCCATATCCTCTCCTAACCTCCGCCCAAAGACAACAACAACACTCCCTCCGTCTGTCTCTCACTCCACTTCTCCCTTAGTCGGCCTTTGAGGTGAAGAATCTCCCTTGGCGTATTCAATTATTTTCCGCTCTCTATCTTCACGTAGAACTGATACGATCACTGCATAAGTGTAAAACTATAGCAATTGGCTGCTCCTGTCTCTTTGGCTTTTGAGCCAAAAGAGCTCAAAAGCAATATGCAAAAACCTCAGTAAAAGGTGTTTATGATATAATATGAGTTAAAAGGAGCACATTTCTGGTTTGGTGTAGATAAAAGAGTACTTACAAATGGAGTTGTGAAGGTACCCAAGACAAAAAGGGTTGGGAAACACTTATACAAACCACAGGACCCTCTGGTTTCTGTACCAGCTGTGTTGATCTGCTCTCTCTTCCTCCCTGTATGTCTCTCTTTGACCCTAATCTCTTAGCGGTGTCTTTCCCACAGGGCTCAGCCACCCTAGTGCTGCTATCTCCAGCCCAGCCTGTTCTCCAAGCTCCATCGTGTCTTATCAGGCAACCTCCTGCCTGCCAAGACTCCCAAAGCCCTGGGCTGAGTCCAGTTCCATCTCCATCAGTTCAACCTCCATCTCCATCTCTCAATCAACAGTCCTGAACTGTCACTCAGACCTACAGCTCAAACTCACACAGCACTCTATCCCCCGAATCAAACCTCCCCAAGTGATTAAACACAACTTTTAACACCTTTAAACTTCATGATGTGATTTGACAGTGCAGGACACAGTGATTTGCAGTAGAAATGCTTTCGTAAGTGAGAGGGGAAAAGTTTTTGAGCAGGGCAGTGTGCCCATGACGTCGTCTCATTCGGAGAGGAAACCTGGCTCTGTACCGCTCTTAGCACTTTGGTCTCTAGCTGAAGCAAGGCGCTCAACAAAAGAATAGAGTTCGGGACCATGAGGAGGAAGCCGCTATTCTGCAAGGAGGAGCTGGAGGCGGGAAGCGACACTGACTCACTCATAGCTTCTTTTCTCCTTATAAAACTTCATGTTAACTGTTCACCCACTGCTCTCCTGCTCCTGTCCATTTATTGTTCTCTGTTTTGTGTTATTATTTTATACTATACTTTATACTAGCATACTCAGTGCACAGTGCAGTGTATATACTTCATTCGGACTACTACTTTATAGTAGGTTATGCTGTGTCTACACTGCATGACATAAAATATAGTATGCATATTAAATGTTACATTTAAAATATTTTTTGCTTCCCTGTTGTCATATGACTTGAGTAGGTTGTGCATTTAATCCAGCAATAGTCAGAAAATAAAAGGTAATTTTGCATTTTTGACACAATTTTGGGTAAAATGTTTCACTCGAAAAAGAAGGTCAAGTTGAAAGCACTGCATTTTCTGTTGCTTTTCCACACATAGCTTTATCTGACTTTGGAATAGCAAATTAGCATACTACTCATAAGGCAGAAATAGTAATAGTATGCTAGTACACGAATTTCCAAATTAAACTTTAGTCTTATTATTCAAACTTTTTTAGTAAAAATATGCTATTCATACTTGATATACTTCTCTACCCTGAAATTAAGTGCTCATTTGAAAAATAAATGCAAAAAAAAAGATTCAAAGAGCTTCAAAAATCCACAGCAGCAGCAAGAATACTGCGCTCTCTCTGTCTCTCAGTGCACTCAAGGGAGAGGCAGGGTTTCAGCAGCGCCTGTCTGCCTCAGGGTCAGAGATTTTAAGGCGGAAAGCCTTTAATACCAATTAAATGTTGCCTCTTAAAGCTGTGATGCTCACATTTAACACCAAACAGTGAGGCTCGGAGCTGCCTCGTGCCTCAGCCATGTTACCCAACTCACGGAACGGCTCCTGTCGCCAGCACTGCTGCTAATTCCTTTCAACTCCAGCCAGAGCGGTGCAGAGCTGGGCCAAAACAACGGCAGAACTTTAATAAAGGGAGGAGAGGAGAAAAGAGAAAGCTAGATGGATGGAGAAATAGCAAAACGACTAAATGAGAGGGAGAGAGGGAGGCTCTTGGTTTTCTCCTCCTTCTCCCTTTGCTCCTTCCGTCTCTCTCCAGCTACTGACAAGTTGGACAGGCCACACTCCTTAATTCCCTTTTCTTATTCCCTTAATCTGTCATCTTTATCAGGCAGGGGAAGTGGCGGGCGGCGCGGCGGAGCCCCAACCTCCAATCAATCTCCACATTACAGCTGACAGAATGGTGCTAATAACTTATTGATCCCCCTGTTTGCGGGGCTCGGCCAGAACTGAAAGGATGGCATTGATTGGCTATGGGGGGGGGAGCAGTACGGCGCTTCCGCCAGCCCAGAGGATTCAGAACCGTCCTCCTCTACTGCTGCTCCCCCACTGAGAGCCTTAGGGGAGAGACAGACAGAAAGAGGGAGAGACAGAAAATGAGGGAGGGAAACGAACAGAGAAAAAAGATAGAGAGATTAAAATCATGGGAAAGAGAACGAGAAAACAACAGAACAAGGCAGAAAAAAATGCTGCAATTGAACGAAAAATAAAGACGGGGAGACAAAAGGTGGTTGAGGAAAATGCAGGAAGATGCAGAAAAGGCAGCCAGTGAACGGGCAGAAAATCAACAGAGATAGAAAAGGTAAAAAAAAAAAAAGTATAATTATGCCTGCACCGTTTGACGGTAGCATTAACTAGGCCAGACTGCTTTACAGATTAGGAGAGATGAAAAATCATGGAAAAATATGAAAATTCTAAGTTGATTGTATCCCAAACAACTCTAGATTAAAAAAACTTGTTATTTAAGGGATTGTTAGACACTAGACTCTAGAAACTCCACTCTACATGTGACTTTTCGCAATTGATGTTAAATTGATTCAGCACATTACCACGGCTTCTAATGTAGCTCATCCAATCAAAATTTAGAGCTGGAACTTTCAGTTTCATAAAATTTGTTTTGCTGTTTGGAATATACTTTTTTTTTACTCAAGTGGAACAAAATGTAAAGCCGTTTTTTGACTTATATATAATTCCAATTAAAATGTACAGTTATTTAAAACTATATTTTATTATATTTTATTTAATAAAATAAATATAATATCAGTTTATATATTTTTTTTATGTTTTATTCAATATTTTATATTAAATAAATACATATAAGCACACACACATACTATTGTGAAATATTAAATAAAATTAAAATAACTGTTTTAATACATTGTAAAATGTAGCCGAATTTCTTCCTGTGATGTCAAAGCTGAACTTTCAGCATCATTACTCCAATCTTCAGTAACATGATCCTTCAGAAATCATTAAATCACTAAAATGCTGATTTGGTGATCAAGAAACATTTCTTTTTATTATCAATGTTGAAAACAGTTGTGCTGCTTAAAATTTCTGTGGGAACCGGGATTTAAATTTTTTAAGGATACTTTGATGAATAGAAAGTTCAAAAGAACAGCTTTTATTTAAAATATAAATATTTTGTAACATTATAAATGTATTTACTGTCACTTTAGATTGATTTGAATTCATCCTTGATGAATAAAAGTATTAAAAGAAAAAAAACATGCCCCCAAAATTTTGAATGGTAGTTCACAAAAATATTAAGCAGCAAAAACAACACTGACTGTTTTAAACATTGATAATAATAATAAATGTTTCTTGAACATTTCTTAAAGTAATTTTATTTCATATTTTTATATAATATACGTGTACATTTTTTGTATTTGTTAGACTGTTAAATCCCAAGTGATTTACAGTGTATCAGTCGGTTAAGGCCCACACTTAAGTACAATAATGTTCATGCACAGGATAAGTAGACTAGATTTGTAGGAGGAAAAAAGATAAACATCAGTGACTGGACACTTCAATTGCGGTATAAACATGCAAATGCTGCGTCTTCAGAGAGAAGATTAAGATTATAACATACAAATTCAGGGAATCTACGTCTACGCACTGGTCCAGATACACAACAGACTCCCCCAGACGCTCTTGTCTGCCTTTAGGAAAGCATGAGTGCGACAGAGAGGGAGGGGAAAAAAGCAAAAACACCTTATACGCCTATTAAGAGTCTCTGGTCTGACCGCAAAGCCACGTTTAGGAGTCTACACAGAGAGCCAGACGAGCTGCCGGCGCCCTGCCCTCCCCCATCCCTCGCTGGGGCCAGCAGGCCGGCCGGCCGGACGGAGGGGGTGAGGGTGGGGGAGCAGGAGCCGCCTCTCCTCCGTCGCTGACTGGCTGCGGCTGACGCCTGGGTCAGCTCTCATGTCTGTCCCTCAGATTTAATTAACGGGCCTCTCCGGTGCACAGCAACCCCAGCGCGGCAGTCGGCTTCCTCTTCCTCCGCCTGTCTCGCGACTCCACACTGCAGTCCACCCTCCCTTGATACCATACGACGCTCTGCTCATTCATTTGTTCTGCACTTTTCCAACCTTTTCTTCTCTCTCTCTCTCTCGCTCAACCACATACCCACAGAAGAAGTCAGACTTGAAAGGAAGTAAAAGAGACTGTGTGACGGAGAAAAAAAAGCTGTTGGAGTCTCACAGCTGAACATGGAAAAACGGACACTTACGTCTGCGTTGATTTAAGCTTATTTAAGGTCAACCTTTAACATACTGGTACATCCAACATCCTCTACTTTGCAACGGCATGTGGTGAAATGCAAAATTTGATAAATGTGCATCATTCTGATGATCTGATCATGCAAAAAGAAAAAAGAAAACGCATGTCCAAATGGGTCTGTTCTATCCGTTCGACCCTTAACCTGGCCCAGAGACGGAGGCTCTCTAATTTCACTGGCAGACAGAATTAGATGCGCTGGGTGATCGGATTGGACTTGTTTACAGACATGAGTCTAGCTGCTTAAACCCGTTAAACCTCTTTTAAATGCTCAAATTGACAGATTTTGGTCATCAGCCACACTGCAGGTGGCTTCCTCTCTTATTACTTTGTGTCTTCTCCAATTAAGATTAAGATTAATTGAGCATCTTCCATTTAAATTATGAGAGATTATACTAGACTTGTTTTTAACCCAACCCTTAGATCTCTACACTAGTATAAATCTCAAGTCCAGTAAAGGTGATTTGATCCATCTTCGGAGCTATTGGATCAGGACTGGGACTGTTTTATGCTGGACCAATGCCACTGTAATAGGATTTAGCCACATACAGTATATTCACATATGGCCATTTGTCCACAAACCAATAATAGGATCCTCCATAGTATGACTCAACTATGCAGTATTAACTACAACCTAAACAAATAAAATTAATTTAAATAATAATTTCTATAAATAAATAAAACTTTTTAGTGCAAATTAGAAAATGTCTAAACTTCGAAAATAGTTTCCATCGGAAGCTGTATAACTGTAAACACTTTTCAATGGTAATAGTCATTTGCAAACTTGTTATGAAATAAGTATTATTTAAATATTTAATGAAATAAATAACATGATAAATAAATAAACATAATAATTTAGATAATTGATTAAATACCATTTCAAAAAATTACAAATAAATCTATATATATATAATTTTATAAATAAATTAATTAAAAAGCAACAATAAAAAAACAAAAATCTTCAAACAATACATTTAAGCATAACTGTAAAACAAGATAGGTCAAAATTACTTAACCTGAGGGTGACCATGTGATTCAGACTTGTAATATAAACTGTAATTAAAACTATAAATATAAAATATAATGAAATAAAATTTAGAAAATACATTAAGTTATTGTTATTAAAATAAATTACATTCAAATAGTCAAATAAAAATAAAAATAAAATGCAACATAAATCTTCAAACAATACATAAACCATAACTCAAAAACTAGACTGATCAAAATGACTTAACCCTTGAGTAAGCACATGGAGTTCAGATGACCAATGAGATTAACACAAAGTATGTCCGGTAGTCCTTCTGTTTGGTCCGAGATTAATGACAAATAAAGCTATTTACTGAGAGTAGTTTTAACGGTGGTTTAAGTTGTGTGCTAAGAGAGGCGAAGACAAGAGCATTAATGAAGATGGCCACAATGGAGCGAGTAATGAGCTTACAGCCCTCAATCATGCAAATTAAACCGAATTAAAATACTAACACGCAGTCAGTGTAATTGTTCTACATCAATCAAAGGATAAACCCTGTAAAAAAAACTGCAATAAAACAGAATAATGTAGACAGAGAGAGCCTTAGAAACAATTATAGCAATAATCCAAGACTATAGGTCAGATACTGCACATTTCACAGATTTGAGTGTGTATCATAATCATAAAAGTATTTTCAACTGCTTTTATCCAGACTACTTCCTATTCATGTCCATGGATCTGCTTTTGCCCCATACGTATGTATTCACTTCATAAGGGCCGTAAACACATGGATAATAACAGACCAGAACATTAATCTCCGATTATGTGTAAGTGTGTCTCAGGTGTGCTGTCTCTAGGCGTGTCCTACCTGAGTGTGCGGAGGCGAGGCTGAGGTCGGAGCAGGGCTGGCCCTCGGGCATGCCGTGCTGTCGGGTGTGGTGCAGGTTGGAGATGATCGTTGAGAGGTCACTGTCACGACTGAAAAAGTAAAGAGATAACAAGAAGTTAGAGGGAGGGTAAATATCTCTAGAGATTCCTAATCTCAGGCTCATAATGCAAAGAAACAGCACACTCACACATTAAGCATATTAGTACAAAAAAAACCTTTCAATATAAACACTAACAATTCTGTCCATTTAAACTGGAATGATCAACCTTACCAATTGAACACAAGAAGAAGAATAAAACAGTATGCAGTAAGTAAACCGTAAACCAAATGTAATTCCACCACAAACAACCTCGACTGAATCAAACACGGCCGACCTGCTGCACTCCGGTCTGGTCCCTTGAAGCTGAAACGCTCTCTGCCTTTGGCTCTTTTGCTTCGCTTCTGCATTCATTGTCTTTTGGATTTTAAGCGTATAATGAGCGCTGACAGATTCCTGTGTCAAGCAATTTTGAGTTTCATCCAGACTCATCTTCAACCTTAAGATGTTCTAATCAACACATTCAACTCATAAGCAGTTTATGAGCTTAAAACCAGGTGATTATGGTTTTTATGATCGCTCTGCTGAAATCGCTTGGGTCTCTGGAGGCGCGGGGGATGAGTGTAATCTCTAGAGATCTGCCATTTCATAAAGGAACCCGATAAGTGGCAAATAAAAGGGGCTGGTTTTAGCATTCAACATGTGCGTGCGGATTTAGAAATTACAATGGATAATAAAATCTGTATGTAATTCTGGAGATATTTAAGAAAGTATTTATGCCCCAGTGTCAAAAAAACCTTATACGCAAACTTGTATTGCTTGACTGCAACCAGAGAACTGATCTTGACAGCTGTTTTGGACAGGTGAAGAAACCGATGAATGCTTAAGATTGAGAGACCCCAAACTTTCTCTATGAAAAATATTATCTGATTTGTTTAGGGTCTCAGAGACCCCAGTTTAACACTATATAAGGTCATTTATGCCATGAGGAATGGCTTTATTATATATTTCAAAGTTTTTGCCAGGATAAAATTGACCCCGAAAAGAATCAATGATATTATATTTGATTATAATATCTTTGATATTATTTTTAAAAACATTATCTGTTAAATGGGTTCAAGGTCAGAGAGGAACATATTAAAACAATTTGAATGGAAAATATGAGGTAAATTCAGAAAAGAACATTTTTAGATTATATTTTTAATTATGTTATATTTTAAAATGATAATTTGTTATCTTCTATAATTGTTTAGTCATGAGTCATATTTACCCTTTAAATATATAGCCTTTTTTTTTTTTTTTTTTTTTACAATACTACATTTTATTATCTTTTATAATAATGTTTCTACACATGAATCATGTACACACATTAAACATGAAAAAAGAGGGTTAAAGTACAGAGCTCTTTGCAGACTGATAAACTGATCTCAGGCCAGTAAAGGCGTCCACGTCGCACACTTGTCTTCCTCTCTCGGGTCGTCTCTTCAAGGCCAACTGAAGGGTTTACAGATTAGGACTGGACAAGGCCGTTCCCTCAACCTCCCTTCCTCCCTCCTTCCCACTCTCATCCTTTCCTCACTCATCCTTCATTAACCCTTTTTAGTCCTGCTTGGCCCATGTTGTCTCTATAGAAAGTGATAGAAGAAGTGTGTCACTGAGGTATTTTAATGCAATCTGATTACAGCTGTGATCGCATTATAACGCATAATGATTTCAAATACCCGATTAGCAAATATCAGATGCATATCTCACAGTGCCTGGCAGTCTGTGGGGCGCACTAATATCAAGAGAGTTCTGAGGGACATTTTTACGGGCTGTCACAGGGCAGTCCAAATGCTTGAGCATGAGCATAGCCCTGCTGTGTGTGGCAGTCCAAATGCTAGTTTTACAGTCCGTAGATTACAGGCTGGGCTTCAGTAATGTCAGCCTGCCACAGTTTCAGTTCGGCTACAAACAACACAGCACGTACAGGAATTTATTCTCCATGACCAAACTGGGCTGCAAATTCACTTGTCATTCCGAGAACCCAAAAGGCTGACAGAAATGCCATTGGTCAACTGTACGACACAAGATCAGATACACGATACTTATACATAATGACAGCATTCACTGAGCTATATATATATTGTTGGACAAATTATGATTTTATCTTACGTTCTGACAATATTGTAATGTCATGAGTTAAAAAAGCATAGTTAAATGCAAATTATTAAAAATCATTTAAAAAAATCATGTTGGTCAAATAATGATTACAAATAATGCATACATAAAAACATTAAACATAAAATGAATACTACTTAAATTAAATACTATTTAATTTAAAATAATACATACATATATACATATAGAAGTGGAACAAAATATTATTATATAAATAAATATTAACCTTTTTTACTAATATAGAAATACTGTCATTTAAATAAACAATTTCAATTAAATACTATTCAAATACTATTAAATACTATATATATATATATATATATATATATATATATAATACATTATATACATACTATATTATACATAAATATAAACCTTACAGTACACAATACAGCAAAAGCACAATCACTGTTGTACATTTACAAGAATACGAAAAAATCATATTTCATTTGAGGCTGGCAAACTCCCAGATGAATAAAAAGATAAATGAGACTGAAATAAATTAATAAAAGAAACAAATTCCCTGCAAAGTGATTTCACACAATATGCTACATCTATATAAGTTACACCATAGAAAACACCCAAACAACTTAAACAAACTCTAGTACAAAACATTTTAAATAGCGTTTAGATTTAAATATTATTTCAAATTTCATGTTTGTCTATTCTATTTTGGCAACAGCGCTATAAAATATTAAAAACTTGCGTGAAACTATGCTACTCTGTGTAGCGCAAACATCCATTTAACCTTTATCTAGGAAACAACTCTGCCGTTCTCTATAGGTCATCCAAGTTCCCCCATCCATCCCCTTAACAGGGCATCAGTCCAAACAACAGCTCCATCTTCCAGCTCCTCCTCTGGCAGCTAAGGAAGGCTATTATCCTCGGACGGAGGCTCTGCAGTGAGCTCACTAAGCAAGGACATTGTTAGCAGGTTAATTAGCACACTTTTTCTGGGCTGTCCCGGTGTGTGCCGCTAATGAGGCCTCCCACGACTGTCAGCCAAGGTCATAATCTGCGTCAGGGCTGGATCTAAGACCCGGCCGCCTGAGTCAGCGATCCCACACAGGGGAGCACAGGGCGGACCTGACAACTCCGCTTAGGACATGAGCTGCGGCTTATCGCGCAGTGAAGACGATCAGCATAATCTCCACCTAAACTGGTCAATACCTCTTACACTTCCCCGTCAACCGCACAGACACTTTGCCCCAGATATGACCCACTGTGAGAGGACATGCACTGGGCACGACGATTTAGAATAAAAAACTGCAGCAAATGGGCCGGATGACTCTACTTAGTTAAAAAGGCTTAAAAATAACAAAGAATTGTGAAACTGTAAAACCTACATGAAAAGATTGTAAACTAGGACAAATAGTATATTTTAATAATATAGTATATTTGAATAATATGTAATTCATGTACAGTATATGCAACAACTATAAAAGGATCTACTGAACATAAGCAAACTATATTTCTACCAAAAATGTAGACAAATCTGAATGATGTGACCGATTTAGCAGCTATTTCATGTTAAATGATATTTTATGATAAATAAAAATGATAAATAAAAAATGGTCGGCTGGTCAGTATACAGTCAACCAGTAGAAAATATGCTATACTGTTACACCGCAATATGTCTGTGACACAATTTAAAGTATGTTTTGACATAAAAGCCTCGCAATGTTGTTTATGGTTGCCAAGCAATGTTGTAACTTAACTTAATAAGCATTAACATATAATTTAACTAATGTACAGTGAGCTTGGCTCCTCTAATCATATTTTAAATATACATTACTTTTACTTTGTAAAGTATTAAATTCACTAAATACTTTTACATACAAAATTACTATTGTATGTGTTTTTTTTGTGTGTTTTTTATGTAGCCTATAACATTTCTCTTGCTGAATTTCCAGCTACATTTTAAAATGTACCATTACATTGATATAAAATTTCAGAAAGATTGCTCACCCCCAATGGCTGGTGCATGAGGAAAGCGATTGTTATGGAAGAGGGTTTTTGAGTAAAATACCATATTTGGAAGGTGCCAAAAAAATCAGAGGCATTCAATGCAGTTTCAGAGTCAGTGCTTTAAAACAAAACGAAAATCCGTGACACCGCAACGAACAGCAAAACATCTTTCCGATGCCAGAAAGATATGGGTTTTTGCATCAACTGTGTTGTTGCTGGTAGCAGACACATTTCCTCACCACAGCACTCTCATGCAGAGCTGAAAGCACTTCCATCTGTTCTTGACGTGCGTCTGATATAGGAGCACTAGGCCTAGGAGTAGGGTTTGCGGTTGAATTTGGAGAAAACCAGCAGCACACCTGCACTAAGCTTTGCTTAACTCTGAACTGAGATTCAAATGCTGCTAAAGGGATAAAGTCCTGTAATAGGTAGCTGTGCAAGGGGTTTAAAGGAATAGTTCACCCAAAAATGAAAATTATTCACTGATAATCTTCACCTACAGTGAGCTCTGCTCAAGACCCGTTACAACCGAATCACTCATTCAAGAACCGGATCAGTGAATGAATCATTCAAAATTGTTTTGTGAACTGAACAGATAAATAGAACAGATGCATCTCCAAAGTATGATTTGCTCACTAATCAGTGATACAGACTAAAGACGTTTAGTAAATATTAAGTGGACTACATTTTTTTCTTAAAGCTTGAAAGCTCTAGTCCTCATTCATTGTAACTGCAATTGAAAAGTAAAAGCATTCTTTAAATTGTTCCAGGGAAGAAACAAAGTTATACAGGTTTGGAACAACATGACGGTGAGTAAATGATGACACAATTTTCATTTGCGAGTGAACTGTTCCTCTAAGAAAATGCTTGTTTTGTTCACAAATGGCTGGGTATTCAAACATGACAGGGGCAACATCTGGATGA